AAGACAGAAGCGATGGCGACTTCAGACGATCATGTTCCTTTATGTTTGCTTTTTTCCCACTGGATTCCCAAAGAATTGCATGAATTAGCTCGAATCTCTCATTTCTGATCGCATTTGTGTCTCATTTCCAATCGCATTCTGAACGGAACGTGTTCCTCAATAAGAAAGTTGAAGCTGAGATTCATCCTGTGTGCCAGCATGCGGAAAGGTGACATCATGCCAAGTACCAAGCAAGATGGCATTTGCGAGCACTTGAAATGAAGGACTTGCGCAGCACATCTGGGAGTGCGCCACATAATACTGCGAAGCAACTCACCACACGCCTGTTTTCCCTGCCTGTCAGTAACTTGGGTCTGAACACCAAGCGTGTTTGCAAGTACTGGGGTACATGCGTGCTTCGTTTGCTGGTGAGGTTGGATATGATTTGTGGATGTGCTCATGAAGCTTGAATTGCTTTCACTGAGGTATACATAAAGGTTGCTTGGCAGTCAATACCCTAGCCACACCAACCAAGCTGTGGGTGTTCACTGTATGAGAGATTACACCCCTTTTCTTGTTCACGAGGTCAGACTCGCAGTTCACACATGTCAGGAGTTGAGGAATTCCAAACATGTTCTACATCCAGTCGAACTACGACAAACTCATGACATCAACAGCCGTGTAGCGTGCTCTGAGCATAAGGGCATATGTGTGTGCATGTGGGTGCATGTGTGTGCATGTGTGTGCATGTGTGCGTGTGTGTGTGTGTGTGTGTCTCTGTCTGTCTCTGTGTGTCTGTGTGTGGGTGTGTCCGTCCCATCCCGCAGCCCGTCCGGTGGGAGTCGTATGGCATCCCGGATGATGCCTGCTGCCAAAAGCGCAGGGCTCAAGCGAGTTCCTCCTTCTTTGTCTTTGGACGGTGCCCCTGTGAAGGGAAGGGTCTCACTGCATAGCACTTGGAAGGTGAAGGGATGCGGAAGCACCACTTTGCAGGCATGCCACCCAGCACCAGTACGTACACCAAGCTAGCCCAAGGATGATGGATTGAAAACGGAGCTCCCAACGTGACCAAGGCTGCGCTAAGAATCTGGGCGTCCGAGCTAAGTGTGATGGCCGGAATCCAGCTGCCATGGCTCCCATTTTGCATGTCGCCACGGGCTTTTAGCCAGAGTTGAAGCTGCATGGTATCTGAATTTTGGACTTATGATCAGGGTGTCAGCAGTAAGGATGGTACCAGACTTCTATTTCGAGTGGTAACAGTATGCATAACCAGACGACTAGATCTACGCGGACACACAAGGGGGAGGCGTGAAATTGCCCTCAAGGCTCCGGGTGGATGGATCTGCAACTCGGGATACATACGGCATACGGGGCGAGTTGATCAGCATGTTGTTGACTGCCAAAGGACGTGGACGTTCAGCAGCGTCGGGTTACAGGCTAGGGGTCACCGAGTGATCTACTCAGAGAGTTGCTTGTCCTGATAGGGCGGCAGCCCGCTGGAGTGCTCACACGAGCTGCGGTTGCGGAGCATTCTTGAAATGACCGTTTAAACAGGGAGTCCCAAGATATCATGCCACTCATCCACATTCAATTGTCAATTGTTATGATTCAGGGAAGTGTGCTGAGCCTTCTGAGCCGCTCAAGGCTGGTCAGAAAAGAGAAGACTCTCAAGAATTAGTAAAATTTTGGCTTGTCTTGTACCGATGTTTGACATTGATACAGGTTATGGCATGTTATAGCAAGCCATGCCACAAACCAGCTCCACTCCAGTCCCAGTGCCAGATGCCCTTACGCTGTCTGGAACAAGGGGTCAGCCTTTACGAACAGGTGGACTTGAAGCTTCAAAGGGCCTCCCCACGTGGGGCGCCGCATCGATTCCCGGGGAACTGACTTCACCCTAGGCTTCTAAACGCATGGGCTTCCGATAGAGTGAAGCCGTGAGTTAAGCGGCTCACATCTATGTTCAAACTATGGATGGCCCACAAGCCAAGATGCTGCGGAACTTAGAATCCTTTTGTCGGCCAAAAGCATTCACCCTTTCGGGTGTGCAGAATCTTCGGATAAACGCTGCCTGGAACTAGGGCTCTTCAAAAATTTCTCTGGCCACGGTTCTTCAAGGCAGCCCCCCCTTCCATAGAACCCCGAGGGGACGTGGAGCTTGGGAGGGTCTGGGTGTAGGGTTGAGGGCTTGAGGGGTATCAGGTTATCGGTTCTGCAGAGCTGCGCCGGCTGCTTTCAAATCGCTCCCCTCCTGGCGTGAGGTGGAGCGAGCTCTCTAAGAGAGCAGACATGGAAGGCCCCGTCCCCGACAAAGATTCTGAATGCAGCGAACTATAGGGACTGGCGAGCGCCCGCGAATATCTGAGGCCGTAGGATGATAGGGGGCTTATTCCTTCGATGTCTGCTCGCTACGCACTCTGAGCGCCTTTCCTGCTACCCGGCTCTCCTCCTTAGTGGCGAGGGTTCTCTTAGTCACTCAGTCCCGCTTAAGCCTCACAAGTCTGTCAGAAGTATCCCGCATGCCGCGACCGCAGATATCCGTATCCAAGCAAAGCACACTTCTTCGCCAAACTATAGAGGCTGATTCGCATCAAGGACATATGATTCGCAAAACCCAGTCGCAAGAAAACCAACCCCTCGCGGATGTGCCTACTCTGCGAAACTCGCCCTTGTTACATCCTGTCCTTTGGAGCCTGAGCACGGCATCCCAACATCCCGACCTTACTTGCCTCAAAACGAGCACTTGAAACCCGGCACACTCAAACCCGGAACACCGCATCCTAAGTCACCAAGCACCGTGCTCTTCCGAGAACCACAGCGAGCTCCAAGTGCCAGGCAGAGGTTGCCCGTGCCGGGGAGAGGCGGTGGCAGGTTCTTGGCAGAGTCAAGGCATACCGGTCTTAAGGAACAGTCCATGCTGGTGGATGTCACGGAAACCCAATACTACGAATACTAGTACCAGACTGTGCTGAGATTTTCGGTGGTTCACGATGTCCAGGATCGTGACGATTCTGGTCTATCTATGTTTGTAGAAAAAACCAGTTCGAAGATGGGATGTGGTTCCGGTTCGGGGTCTTGGGGTCTAAGGGTGTTGGGCGCATGGGCTCGTTGCTGACCATGATGGTGAGTCGGTGATGCTTCGGCGATGATACGGGTGGTGACCTCCACGATGGCCTTCGTGCGTAGAGACGACATCGACGCCAGGATGACCTGCCCTACAACATTAGTCTGCAAACATCGCGAGGAAAATCTCAAGCAAATCCTCCGCGGTAAGGGAGCTGAATGCACGGGAGCTTCGGCTTGAGACGCCGACTCGTAGCACGATCCCGGGTGCTCTAGGCCCCTGGCAACCAATGCCGCTGCTACCTCTTCGTACGACATCGTGTCCTCAGCATGAACAGGCGGCGACAAATCAGCGACGACAGGGGCTGTAGGAAGACGGTCTGACCTTATGTTCAATGCTAAGCCCTGCTAAGCCCAAGACGTTCAGCTGAGGTTCAGGGTTCACGGTCCAGGGTTTCAAATCTGGGTTCGCGAGTTTAGCGTTCAGCCCCCGCCGCTGAGCCTAAAACGTAACTACTGCCTCTCGACACCAACTTCCCGGGGGCACTGCCTTGCAGAGATCTGAGCCGAAGCACAGCTTGCCTTGTTTGGCTTTCCGGGGGTTTCAAGGGTTTGGCGAGTGGTGACACTGGCATGAACAGGAGGAGCTGAAAGCGGCCGGTTCACACTTCGGGAGGGTCCGTTGTGCTTCAGGGCGAGTCGTCCAAAAAAGATTGGATGTGTCCGCCGCGCACTTCTGATATCGAAAGGAAAAGCCCGCAGAAGAACAAACGAGAGCAGCCCCGGTTGACAGAGGGCCCTTCTCCAACACTCGCACACGTCTCATCCTCCAATTCTGCTCTAGTTCTGCATGGATGTAGAGCTAATGGGTGTAGCTTCTACAATCTGACCAGCAGAATTCAACTGTCTTGAGTAAGCCTCAATGGGGTGGGGGACTTTGTTCAAATTCGCCGAAGGCTATGCAACCGTCCCCCGACGAATTCGCGGTCTCGGGCTTACGGCCTCAGATGCCTGCGAGATTCAGGCATTACTTAGGACATCGAATGTTCCCCGTCTCCCCGACAAGACCGCAAGTAACGATGCACCCTATGCCCCTATGTGCAGAAACATGACGACCTCTGTGCTACTCCCTTAACCTGAGAGCACAGTAAATCCCTTCCTTCCCGGATGCGATGATGATACCTGAAACTCTCAGCCCTGTTTCACAGCCATCATGTTGGTGACTATGCTGATCATTCTCACGATGCTGTCACGGTAGTTGGGCGCCATATCCTGAAACTAAAAAGCTTATTCAGGCAAAGCGCCAATACCCTCGAAGTAGTCACCGGTCACGACGTCCTGCGCGAGGGACTGATGGGCGCAATTGATCGTCGGACTGGCATGCTACTGAATCTTTGAACAACGGACATGACTAGGCTATTGCCGTTGCTTCTCCTGATGCTGATGCTGGGGATGCTGATGATCAAGGGCATGCTCATGAACATGAACTTATGTTCATGACCACGATTCGCATGATGAGGGTCATCATAATCATGATCATCATCACCATCATCATGACCATGGTCATTATGATGATGATGATGTCTCGGAGTTCAATACATTCCCCTGTCGGCTCTCATGCGCTGGCAGACAGTCTCGACATTCATTCCTGTCATATCTTCATTTCATTGACACCTCGTTGGCTCAGAAAGCACAGCGCTTCTCCTGCGCGATCAGGCCGGTGATGGCAATCATGGCCTCGGTCTCGAATTCTTGGACGGCATTAGCTGTCACATACTGTAAAGCGTCCGACTAATCCGATACATATCGGACAAAGCTGCAGAATCCAGCTATCAAAATGCGAAACTGCAGTACGTACTCAACCCCCCTGCACCTCTGCGCGTCCTGTAAATTTGCAAGCTAGGTGGTGGCACGGAACACTCTCTGGAGACATGCAGGATCCAACAAGCACTAAAAGGTCATGTTATGGGAGTCGAAGCGTCCGGGGCTGGTCCTTCGGCGCTGCATGGGGCCCCGGCCAGACGGCCGTTGTTTACTTCCTGACATGGAAAGCTTGGTGGAGTCGGGAGCTTGGGGTCTTCCAGGATGACCTGAAGGAAGGGGTGTCCAGGCTCTCTCAGATCATAACATGCCAGCCCTCCATGAACGGCACACAAGACCGTCACAAGACCCCAAAGCAACAAAAGCCGAATGTGCCTGGCACTGAACGCGCTTCCAGCCGTTCCAGATCTCGGAAGGGTAGTCCTCGTCGATGATGCCCTGGTTCACGGCGGGACGAGACTCGGGGCTTTGGCTTCTGCCTCCCTGCTACTATCTTGCTATCATCCGTCCCACGAGTTGCTTTCTGGAGCGAACTTCCAGATGGGGCGTGGTGGGGGTGATTGGGTCTGAGTCGAAGGTCTCATAGCCTCTGGAGGCCTGTTTGAGCCAGCAGTGCGCTACAAGCAACTCCTGATACTGCCATCAGCAGCAAGCCTTCCATCCGAGCACGTCCCAAGGGCGGTCCTGGAGAGGAAAGGAGCCTTCTAGCTGGTCGTTACCGTCGCTGTTTCAACTTCTGAGATTTCGGAAGGAACCACGCACGACGATTCTTTCTCGACAACCGCTGCTACTACTATTGCTACTGCTACTATCTGCTACAGCTCCTACTCGTGTAATTTTACAGCTACTTTCAGCTGACCAGTCTTACTCGCATTGCGCTGCTGCTACCAGACGGCACAGGTTGTTCTGTGTTCTGAGTGAAGTCCCTGTAGGTTTGAGAATGGGTCTCACAAAAATCGTGGTCTTTCAAGAATCGTCAGGATCCTTGCGTTAGCGTAGAGCCCGAAAGCCCGGGAATGAAACGTTGCCCTCTGGCTCCAGAGCCACGGTGGGGGGGGGGGGGCGAACCTAGATAAAGCGGCTTCCCACATAAATGACTTAAATGCCGTGCTTTCGTGTTGGCTCCGAGGTAGGGACGATCAAATGAGGGTGCAAGACCCCGCGATGTTGTGACAAAACCTAGGCTCCGGGTTATATCGGGATGCACGCCTAGGAAAATGCCAAAGACCTGGAGATGTTCCGGCAAGTAAAACACTAAACAAACCATGCAGGGAAGCTCCTCAGGAGGCTTGCAGATGTAGGTGGTCAGCCACTCCAGGCACATGATGGTGAAGATGACCTGCTCGCATATGCCATATGCATGCATGCAAAGAAAGGATGCTGGGCAGCAGTTTTCCGGACTGCGTGTCATCAGTCGGGGAAAAAAGTAGAAGTCGATGCTTTCCAAAGGCCCCAAAGTCGTAGAGACTAAAGAGCGCTACGAAAGCGTGCGACTCTGACTCTTTGAGAACCCCCCCTCGCTGCACTTGGCCTGCCACATGCCACCCATGGGGAGCTGGGTGAGCTGGCGAAGGCGAAACATTACATGTATGCACGTCTTTCGGAGTCTGATACGCCAAACATGGAACGAAACCCACTGATTTCGAAGAAGTGAAACCTCACAAGCGAGCCTCTGTGCTTCGCACATGGATACATGTGCCTCTGCACGTGTGTGGGCGGGTGTCTGTGTTTCTCTCTCTGTGTGTGTGTGTGTGTGTGTGTGTGTGTGTGTGTGTGTGTGTGTGTGTGTGTGTGTGTGTGTGTGTGTGTGTGTGTGTGTGTGTGTGTGTGTGTGTGTGTGTGTGTGTGTGTGTGTGTGTGTGTGTGTGTGGTGTGTGTGTGTGTGTGTGTTGTGTGTGTGTGTGTGTGTGTGTGTGTGTGTGTGTGTGTGTGTGTGTGTGTGTGTGTGTGTGTGTGGTATGTTGTGTGTGTATGTGTGTGTGTGTGTGTGTGTGTGTGTGTGTGTGTGTGTGTGTGTGTGTGTGTGTGTGTGTGTGTGTGTGTGTGTGTGTGTGTGTGTGTGTGTGTGTGTGTGTGTGTGTGTGTGTGTGTGTGTGTGTGTGTGTGTGTGTGTGTGTGTGTGTGTGTGTGTGTGTGTGTGTGTGTGTGTGTGTGTGTGTGTGTGTGTGTGTGTGTGTGTGTGTGTGTGTGTGTGTGTGTGTGTGTGTGTGTGTGTGTGTGTGTGTGTGTGTGTGTGTGTGTGTGTGTGTGTGTGTGTGTGTGTGTGTGTGTGTGTGTGTGTGTGTGTGTGTGTGTGTGTGTGTGTGTGTGTGTGTGTGTGTGTGTGTGTTGTGTGTGTGTGTGTGTGTGTGTGTGTGTGTGTGTGTGTGTTGTGTGTGTTGTGTGTGTGTGTGTGTGTGTGTGTGTGTGTGTGTGTGTGTGTGTGTGTGTGTGTGTGTGTGTGTGTGTGTGTGTGTGTGTGTGTGTGTGTGTGTGTGTGTGTGTGTGTGTGTGTGTGTGTGTGTGTGTGTGTGTGTGTGTGTGTGTGTGTGTGTGTGTGTGTGTGTGTGTGTGTGTGTGTGTGTGTGTGTGTGTGTGTGTGTGTGTGTGTGTGTGTGTGTGTGTGTGTGTGTGTGTGTGTGTGTGTGTGTGTGTGTGTGTGTGTGTGTGTGTGTGTGTGTGTGTGTGTGTGTGTGTGTGTGTGTGTGTGTTTGTGCTGGAAGCTGAGAAGCTGCCTGTTCTTCATTGAAGGATGAACGGCTCCTCCAATCCCCTGCACGCTGATTGCAAGAACTGGCCAGGGGAACGCTCACCAGCGGGTCGTTGCTCATCTTCTCACCAATCTGCAGCAAGCCGGCGTCTGGAGCTCCCATGATGACCACGATCACACAAACACAAAGAAGCGCTGACAACACCAAGACAACGTAGCTATGGAGCCTCGGACCTGAAGTCTGTGCGGACTCTTTTGCTGCTGATGATTCGAGGGTTTGGGTTTCAGTGCGTGCAGCTTACTCGAATCTGAGACTACTGGGCGACCTCATGACAGTATGGCTTGCTTTAAGGAACAAAGCGAGGTTAACTCTGAGTTGGATGGCCGCGTAGTCTCCGAGAAGATGGTAGCCGGCGGCCACGTGGAACCTTTGGAGGATCCACTGGACGAATGTCGGCATATCGGGTTTCCCTTGGGTCGTTGGCAACGATGTGGTTAGTGCTTCCGTCCTGGTCAGCTCACACAACAGCTTCGAGCAAGCTAGTACACAAGCATTGGGGGAAAAAGTAGAAGTTCTTTCACGCCTGGATCGCGATGTGGTGATCGTGGCTTCTCTTGTTCTGAGAGCCCGAGCCCGCAGACTGAGTTCCGGATATTCTTGGGCCGTGAGGGTTGGGAATTCTGACTGTCACGGCACCCAAGTTTGAGAGGGTTCTTGGCAAATACTGCAGGGCCGATAAGCTGCATTTCGGATACGTTGGCCCCTCAACAGAGCTCGCAGAACTCGATGACGCTAACGCCACACTGCACGGAGCTCAGTGTTCAGAGGAAAGCGTCGATTTCGAGTTCGTTGCGTGAATAGAAGGCATCGGCATCACGTTCAAGGCTTCGGTAGGTTCTGAGACTACGTTTCGACTCCACAACAAGACTGTCGGCAGTGCAAGTAGTGGCAAGGGCCGACCTCGCGCACCCTAGATGCTGGGATAGACCCATCTAAGGCCTTCCAAGTCCACTCACGTTTCGAGGACTTTTGGAGTATACGAACAAATGGTGAAAGCCGCAAAACATCTGCCAAGCTACCAGCCGAACTGCGACCTTTCCTATTCACAGCCCAGGACGATTGGCAACTTGGGCATGGGCCAGTGCAGCACGGCAAGCATAGCGACACGGCCTGAAGTGGGCTTGCTTCTCTACTCTTGGTCGTACCGCTGTTACTGCTTCTCGTGCTGCTCCAAGTGCTTGCCATACGACAACACCTGCGACTGCTGCTGATGTTGTTGCTTTTTGAAGGGATATCCCGAGTCCGGAATCCTACTCTTCGGCGGCACGTTTATCATTGTAGAAGGAACAGAGCACAGCTTGAGTTGCGGACCATGCTTCAGCTCCATGGCGCGGTAGTTCAGGAGCTCCTGGTCCGACGTGGCATCGACGCTCTGACGATGCTGCTCCTAACGCCTCTAACTCTAACACAACGCTCCCACGAGCGGTTAGTCTTATGTAGTGGCACTGCAACGCTACCACGAGCACCAGTTCCAGCGCAAAGCCAGGTGATTGAACACACTGTTCCTCCGGGGCTGTCTCTCACGAGCCAGCGCATGCTTCGGACTGTGCCGACTGGCAAGTGGGCTACTGGGCTGCTGCTGAACAATAAACAGAAACTGGTACCTCTAGCTGCCCATGACTATTTCTCAGATCTCGAAGGATCGGCCAACACCGAGCACCAGGACCACCGCGAGAAAGACTATGCTCATCAGATAGGAAGTCCAGGGTACCCTGAAACTGGTGGCTGTCACTTATGATCCTGAACTAAAGTCTGCTTAAGCAAGAGATCCAGGGTACTCTGCCCGACTGCCAACCACCACACCCCCCTCGTTGCCGCAACCACCAGCGCCGGCCACTCTCCTTCTCCGACACGCGAGTGGAGAGTCCGGCCTCAGCAGGGCAAGGTCGGGAGAAGGGTCTTCGGGCTCGGGAGATGACAGGGTCTAACATGGAGAGCTGCGGGATCCTCTGGGTGGATTTCGCTACAGTACCGCAGGCCTCGCTGTCCTCACGGCCTCGGTGGTGGTGGTGGTGGTGGTGATAGTAGTAGTAGTACTAGTAGTAGTAGTCGTAGTAGTAGTAGTAGTCGTAGTAGTAGTAGTAGTAGCCCGGAGCCCCGCGGTGGACCCACCTTTCAAGAAGAATAGGAATGTCCTTTGCTTGCTGCGAGTGTTGAAAGTACTGGTTTTGCCGTATGTTTCCATACTTGAGTGCACTGCTCCATTGAGTTTCTAAACCCTGTTTTGGGGGACCAGCTCGGGTCTCCAAAACAGTCATTTTGGGCTTAAAACTGGCGTTTTGAACCACGCGGATGACGCGTTTTTTCTTCACCCCTCCTGCGTGTCGCTATGGCGCATGACGTCTCCGAGCATACGCCACAGCAGGTCTTGCTGGTGATTCCAGTGCGTCCACTGGAACTCACGGACCCGAAGCTCAACGGGTTTTTTGCGCTGAGCAGAAACCCCGTGGAGACTTTTGTCATCATTGCGGCATTGCCGCAGAAGCAAAACTGCCGACAGGGCCACAGCAAGAGGAGGACTCATGGCTGCGACAAAGCATGCAGTGTTCAAGACCCATGCCGTGCAGTGTTGAAGACTCAGGCCGAACAGGACGTCATTTAGCTCCCCCCTCCACCCTCCCCCCAGTCCATCGAAAATTTGCATTAAGCCCCACCCCACCCCCCCCAGCCCACCCCACCCCCCCACCCCACCCCCCCACCCCCCCTCTCGAGTCGATCGGAAATGTGCGTGACAACATCCAACATCATCTTCGTCATCATCCTCAGCATTTCATAGTGATAATGAATGGCTTGAAACATGCACGGGAGGTGGGTCCAGGAAGGGGCACCGGCCTAGTAGTAGTAGTAGTAGTAGTAGTAGTAGTAGTAGTAGTAGTAGTAGTAGTAGTAGTAGTAGTAGTAGTAGTAGTAGTAGCGGTAGCGGTAGCGGTAGCGGTAGTGGTCGTAATAGTCGCCGTGTCGTCGGACCAGTACTAGTACTAGTCCTTGTTGCTTGTAATAGGAATGCTCAACGCACACAGACTGTGAGCCCTGGCCCACATCTGAACACGTCGACTTTAACGCTTGTGCGGAACTTATGCGAGGCTTTCGCGCTGCAGTACATCGCGCTACTCGCTGTACCTGAATCTGATTTTGGCGCCTGGCAGGAGCCTGCCGTGGCTTTGCGCAATAACGGTCTTGGGACCGGTATGCAGAACAATGGCACGTGCTCTAGAAGTCTTATATGTCCGAGTTTGTTATGTAAGAACGGCACCATCGCGAAACGTTTGCGGACACTATCCTTTCATCTTAGGACGTTTGATATAACACCAAAGTGTGTGTGTGTGTGTGTGTGTGTGTGTCTGTGTGTATACGTAGATACACATATATATATATATATACACATGTGTACATGTACATATATGCATGCAACCTGGAAGAGAAACCAAAACTTTGCCGGGCTCGGCACCGGATCCCAGAAGTCGTTGGGCAGAGGACCTCCGGTGCCGGCGATCAGCTCCTGGCCACTGGAGGATGCGGTTTGGGCTTTGGAGGTCGCGGGCTTGGGCGTGGGGCTTTGAGCATTCGGGGTTCAGGAGTACATGGAGCAAACATTGCAAGGTTTGAGCGATTTAGGATATGTCAACGGGTACGGGGCTTTCGGGACCAGGGCGAGGCTGCGTAGAAGATCCATCAGCGCATCTGTGCATTTTCTCCTGCTCATTGCATGTATATGCTGGGGAGGGAGTGCGAGGAACATCTAAACGTACCTCAAGTCACAAGCTCGGCACAAACGGCTCGCAATCCCACACCTGCCCTTCGAAACTCCGAAAGCTCCCTCTTGGCTTGCCTGAGATGCAGTGAGGGCGCGCAGAGGCGAGTCGGTGTAGAGAGACCTTTACGACAAGCAGCGTCTTCTTCGTCGAGTTGACGTAAAAATGAAACCCTGCGTTCAAAGGGGTCAGGTCACCTCCTCGGGCCTGAAATCTAGGGAGGGTGTCCTCCTCAAGATAACCTGCAGAGAAAGCTCTTGAAAAGGATGCAGGGACTAGGCTACAGGATTCCTCATCACTTGTACTCGTTCAAAGACGATGACAGCGTGCCGGCGAAAATTGCCAATAGGCCAATAGACTTGTTCTGATGATGAGCAGCTGGAGTCAGAGGAGGCAAAGGTGAAGATGAAAACACGCAAGCTTGGACACCAACTTCATTTTATCACCGCCTGAGGGCAAGGCCAATCGCCCCAAGCCTGGCCAGTGAGGCCGTTCTGGAAGAACATACCAATGATTGCCTCAGATTTAGGGTTGTTGGGTTTTGGGTGTTGCTTACGCTTCACCCGCACATGGTCACAGAGTTGCGGGCTCTGGGTCCATGGATTGCGGTAAGAGAGCTGTGGAGTGAGAAGATGCTGGATGACACAAGACCGCGGAACAGCCCTTAGAGCAGAATGCTGGAGTCCTGCTGGAGTGCCTGGTATTCTTTGATCCTCCTGGCACTGCAGGTGGGTCCAGGCTTGTCTCGGTTTCTTCTGCTTGGCATACCCCAAAGCTGAACTCCAAGTGGGTCTGGTTCCGACATGCAAACGCAGCGCTAGCCTTTCTGTGCGTGCGCATATATCAGATGCTTTAGACACCCACAAACCTGCACGTAGGTATGCGTGTATGCAGGTAGGTATGTGGGTATGTAGGTAGGCAGACAGGCAGGAGACTTAAGTTTAAGCAAAGACAGTACCGAGGACGGCGCCATCATCGCCAGGCGGCCGTTAGCAATTTCTGCCGCGAGCTTCTTCTCCTTCTGGCCCTGCGCGGATACAGCCCTATGCAAACCCGGTGACAGCACGTCCACAAATGGGCAGGGCATTCTCGAATCACGCACGGCAGCCTTGTGGCACGAAATCTTGGACACTCACAGTCAGTCCAACTAGGCGAGGATAGATTCGACAGTGAGACACGGTCAACTTCCGCCGTTCTCCGTGGGTCACCCACAACAATTGTCTCGAGACTATCCGATATCCCAATTAGATGCAGCGAGAGGCCTGAAAGGGCGAAGGCCCCGACCACAAGACTTCTGCGACCCACGCGAACCACGGATAGAGACCACAAGTCAGCCCGCTCACTTTCAGGATCCCTCACTGGAACTCGAAGGCTTTCGTGGAGCTCTCGGCACCAGTGGGCTGGATGGGCTGGTGTGTAGGAGGAGTAGGGGCTGGAGCCACCGGAGAGGCCGCTTTGCCGCCTTTGGCCTTGCTCTTCCCACCTTTGCCTTTGGCACCTCCGCCTCGGCGACCCTTTGAACCGGAAGAATGGTACGAGTAGCCTCCTTTTCCGTAGGATTGGTAGTTCCAGTCTCCGTCGTATTGGGACCACCCGCCCCACCAGTCATGGCCGTGGTAATCCTGGTAGTCCCAAGCGGTGTGGTCCCACCAACCAGCACTGGGACCTGCACGATTCTTCTTCTTCTGCTTCTCCGACTTCTCCTTCGGATCCTCTTTCTTGAAATCTGCCTCCACGTCCGAGACTGTGCGAACCGCAGCCATGGGCGGCGCGGCCGGAGCGAAGGTCGGGGGCGAAGACGGTGGGCTCGCCTGGGAAACCGTAGTGGGAACAACCGGAGGCGCTGGAGGTGGAATCATGGTCCTTTCTGGGGGTGGTGTGGTAGGCGGCGGAGGCACAACCGACCCAGTCGGTGCCGGAGATGGCACTGGCATTGGTGGCATTGGCAATGGCATTGGCACAGACAGGGGCGGTACCGGAAGGAATGGCATGTTCTTCAACAAGTACCGCTTCCCGTAGTGCTCCAATATGCGTGGAGCCGGAAGGGGGTCCCGAACGTTGAGCGGGCTTTGCAATCGATTGCGCAGCATGCTGGCAAGGTCCGGCACCTGGAGGCCAATCATGTTGCAGATGTGGGCGGCCAAAGCATCTGCCACGTATGGAGCATGGCAAAGCACTTCGAGGAGCATTCGGCAGTCGTCTAGCGCCTGATGTTGCTTGAACATTCGATTCGAATGGCTGACGTACCTCTGGTGCATGTCTGCCAGGGCAAGACTCATGTGCCGGCCCCTGTACTCTGCGGCCACTGCTGGATTGTAGTAATTTTCTTTCACCGCGGCCACTGGGTCCGCGTACATCAGCCGTGGGCAACAAGACATGTCCAGCTGAAGACGGGTGATCTCTTTCTTCAACACAAACTCGTCGAGAGCTGCCCCGTTGTGGGCGAGGAGCACAACGTTCCCTGTTCCCCCTCCGGCACGCTGCAGGAAAGGGATCAGCTCCGTGTGCCAAATTTCCTCGAAGAATGGCAAGCCCATATCCTCAACGATTTCTCGGTGGCCGTGATCTTCTGCAAAGCGGCGTGCTGCATGGGACCTGACGTCCTGCCAATTGAACTGAGGTCGGCAGCGCACACTGAAGCTTTCGCCGGTGATGACGTCTATGGCTGCAAATTCAATAATTTGGCAATGCTCCTTCCATTCCCACTGGTCGGAAGTTTCGACGATGCCCGCTGCGAGGTATGTGCCCCGCGGGTGGTTGTGAATACACTCCATGTCGAAAACGACCACGCCGGCACGGAGCTGCAGTTGCACGTCGCGTGCCACTGGGGCCTGTGCGGTTGCCCCTGCGGCAGGTACACCGAGCATATGAGAAAACATGGGCGGGAGCGTCGGCGCGAAGCTTTCCTCGTGCCCAGCTCGGAGAAACATTGGCTGCATCGGCAGCGTTGTTTGCAGCATCATGCCGCAACTTACGCTCACAACTTTTCCTACTGCTCTGTCTCCCCTCTGAACTTCGAGTCGAGTGTGAATCAGTGTTGCTGCGATTCCTCACCTTCTTTCAGACTGCTACAGGGACATGGATATTTCAGGTGCTTGGTGTGGCCAAACTGCTCGAGTTGAAGCTGGTCAAATTGAAGGTCGCTGACAGACTACGTCGGCAAGGTTGAATGTGAATGTCTACAGGCAGGTGCCTCGACTGAGCCACACTGCGACACCCGATGTCAACTTCAGCCATGCATGCCGGCCTTCTACAGCATTGACATCAATATTGACATCCATGTATACAGTGGGTGCACGTGAGTCTCTCTGCCTTGTGCTTTCGGGCGTGGAGCAGTGGTGAAGTCTGCCCGGAAGCCGGCCTCCGGTGCCTTCATGAAGCCGTTTGGGATGCCCAGGAGTCCGGCCTGCAGAGGTTGCGGGATCTCTTGTTCGAGCGCTTGAGGTCCTGTTTTTTTTCGGTTTTTCAAGTTGTTAGCACTCTTCGTTATTGGCTCGTACCGGCTACTTTGACTTCTGATTCAATCTGCGTATTGGTGAGATTGCATCGCCACCACAGTCAAAAGCTCTGCACGTTCGAGGCTGGAACCGCTGAACACCAAAAGCCGGAAACCTGCACCTCAAACAAGTGCCTCAGTCCTATACATTCCGAAACACGATTATACACGTAGATACGAAAGCAACTCATGACAGGCCTCCTGAACCTCCAACGACACCAACGAAAGCATGATGGAGCCTCTGACAACACACGGCCTGAAACCCAGATGCGAAAGCAAACCCAAAGACTCGAAGAATTGACGCCAAGCCAAAAAGAACATGCGGGGCCTCAACTCTAAGCCCACCCCCCCTTCCCTTCCCGGCATTCTCGAAGTCGCCCGGAGCCCTCTTGGGATCCTGGCATTGAAGTGCGGCTTCCCATGAAGATACTGGGGGAGCTTCAAGTTTCCAGAGATAGGCAGCTGCCCCAATTTACTGCTAAGCCTTGCGGAATCCGCCTTATTACCTACACCTTCCCAAGCTTCGCCAGGGAGTCATCAACGTACTGGAAGAGCTCGACGGATCCAGCGAAAGCCACCATCTGGGCCTAGCAGCGGTTCGGGTTCCGTGCGCATGGCAACTTGCTGTGGGCGGCCCGGGGTCCCATAGGTACCGAAGCTCCAAATCATTGCGCCGAAGTTTGGAGGAGCCTGGCTCCGAGAGAATCCAAACCAGAATCCCGCATGCTCTGGGCTCTCCGACCCAGCCAGAGAGAGGCACCTGCATCCGATTCGATCGGCAAGCATTGAGGCAGCAAGGCTTGGAGTATCGTCTTCCGAAGCTCTTGCTTGAATGGAAGCCCTGAATCCAAGGCCTTGCTGAAAGCCGCGAAGCCGGTGGGCACATCCGTGAACTTCAAGCCCAGGGAGGGCCTGGTCTGAGTGGCACCAATCAAAACCCAAAACTCGGGCATTTACAAGAGTAGTGATGGACATGATGCTTGCAAGGATGTTGAAGATGATGGGAGCAATCGTGAGAAACGTGCCATCGGTGCTTTGGAGTTTCGGGTTTTGGGGGGCCTTTCATCATGGCGGCTATCGGTGTTGTGGTGGTGACTCATAGCAAAGTTAGAGCCTCCAAATCGAATCCTGTATTAACCACACGCATGTGGCACGCCGTCTTTGATCCGGATTTCAGGCTCAAGTTAGACCTTCAACCCGATCACGCTGGAAATCCCAACACCATACACATCCCTACACCTCAGAACTCAGAGACGCAGACGAGAGATCACCAGGCCAGCGGTAGTACTCCGGCACAATGTATCCCATGCCTCAGCAGCTTGCGTCTCAGGACTCCCCTAACGTCAATGCACTCAAGAAACGGGAGGCCATGGATGACGATAATGAGAACCACCACCAGCATCATGATCATCAGCACGAATCCCGACCATCATCGAATAAACATATTCATGTTACATTCACATGCATACACCCCACTTGCAGACGCTTAAACCACAGAGCCGCCTTTCTTGCCCTGAGCAATGACCCAACACGAGACACTCGCATCACCTGGCATCAGACATCGCAAAACATTAGCAAACATGAGAGGGCTTCAAGCCCTCAGCCCTGAATTTCGACCTGCCAAGCTGGGGCCCCTGCATGCCAGCATGGCCACACGGCCGTGCCTTTGCGGGAAGTGACACTGATTCCAAACAACAACAGAACAGAAGCCCGACTCGCTCAAACCTGCTGCCGGATCAACAAGGCGATGATTGAGCAAGCAGTCGCACATGGGATTGCTCCTCTGCAAGTGATTGTACCCGAATTGTACTCAGACTCTACGTCCTTGCAGCCAAAGCCCACAAGCATTCGACCGTAAAGTTGCGGCTTCAGATCTTCTACGGCGTCCTACAAGGCCCTAGGACCCTACGTTGCAGAGAGCTCTTCCCTCGTTTGTAGCGATGTTGTGCTGAGAAACAAGGCTTCGTTTCATCGCACTGCTGCGGGCTGATGATGCCTACGTACTGCTGCTGCCGCCGCCGCCGCTGCTGCTGCTGCTGTTCTCGTTGTTGTTGCTGTTGTTGCTGATGTTGTGGTGCTTTTAGCAGATTGTAGCAACATCAGCCAGAGCCGTCATCGCAGCGTCAGTTTGGTCTGTGAGCTGCCGGCTTCAGTTCGACGTAGCGGCGCCGGCGGAAAGATGCAGCATCTCCGCCTGGCAAAAATGAAATCGAACCAGCTGCCGGCGCTAGATTTCCGCCCCTCCACGGCTAGGAGCCGAGCTCCAAAAATTGTGGCTGAAGAGTTCTGGATAGACTTAGACCCGCATGATTTGTTACAGTTTCTGTCTTCGTCACACCCGACAGAACAGACCTGTCTGCAACCTTTCCTCCCTCAACGCTTGGCTTCTCCGGCCTTTCGTGAAGCCGAGCGGATCCCAAAATCCAGCAGGAGGCTGGCGATCGTGGCGAAGTCACTTGTTGGGAGCTGAAGGCTTTGGGTCTTACCGTCAGGGCCGTCAGGTGTTCGAGGCCCGGAGCTTCCGGGCCATCAAGGAAGGAGGAACTGGAAGCCCAAAGCCCTGAAAGCTTCAACTGCCAGCTACGCTCGCCCATGCATGCTGGCACTCCCCCTAGCCCTGCGCACCCAATAACCTTAATCAATAACCTTAAGCACCATTTACAACTTGCTTCTTGAAAATTCATGTCCGGGTCCGAATTCCTCAATCCTACAACCGCTCAACAGCTCAAAATCCGACCTTCGATCCCATGTCCCCGGAACCCTGAGTAAAACCCTCACTTCACTGAGCTCTGCAGCCACTCTAACCGTGCGGCCCAAAGTCCCTCACGCCACACATTTACCGACGAATACTGCTTGCCCTCGCATCTTCCTTTTCCTGCACGGCTGAAGGCCTGCACGCCCAGCTCCGTCTCGAAGGCACGGAGAGGGGAGTCGGTGTACAAGGACCTGAAGTGAATGCAAAAGAAGAAAAGCGGACATCAACCCTAGCTGCCAGGAAGGCCTGCACCCGGCTGAAGGCGCGCTGAACCCAAAGCAGAAGGAGCCTCTGAGCGGTGGCTGTCTGGGTCCGGGGCCAGTCACCCCAGGCCTGGCCGGTGAGGCCGTTCTGGAAGAACATGCCAATGATCGCCTCAGCGGCTTGTGCGGTGAAGGTACTGATGATTCGGTGATGATTCGGTGATGATAGTGGCTGGTGGCTGGTGGTGCAGTGCGGCGCGGCTTTGATTGCCAAAGTACTATGACGAAGAGAATCACTCGCCTTGTGAAGCTCGATGCCTCAAAACTTGGAGCCCGTAACTTCAGGAGGTCTGCAGTGCTTAGTAGCCGTGTAGTGCTTGACGACTGCTGGGGGGAAAGATCAAGGCCCCCAAGGGCCCCCAAGCCCCCATGCAACATTGGATACCGAGGCTGGGACCATCATCGCCAGGCGTCCATTGGCAATCTCTGCCGCGAGCTTCTTCTCCTTCTGGCCCTGGGAAGAAGGTGAGGCGGATTCTGTGCCCCCTAATCTTGTAAGTAGGTATGTATATTCATGAAAATGATATGATGAATGGTTAGTATTCATACGAATATGAATATTAACATCATATTAACCAATATGGATATTCATAGCGAGACTCATACAAGTACTACTCCTCATCTTCTTTATCGCTCACAGAACTCCCCCGGTCTCCGAGCCTCCGGTGCCTTCATGAAGCCGTTGGGGATGCCAAGGAGGCCGGCCTGGGTCGTGAAGGGTGGCCATTGTAGTATGGTATGGACCAGAAGTATAATGTAGTATATACGTATATATATATATATATATATTACAGTCATAGGTAGAAAAGTATAGAAGAAATAAAGTGCATTGTCGTGCATGGTTCACGGAGGTGCTGAACCGCTGCAAGCGGCCGCACAACTGCAGCCCGCAAGGTGTTGGGCTCCCCTGCGTTCTCGAAGTCGCCCGGGGCGCGCTTGGGATCCTGCAACACCAGCTTGACTCAAAGAACTCAGAAGAGGAGCCACTGAACACTGGAACTCGTTGGGGAGTGTTCCGTCTTTGGCTGCCGACTTTCGGGGATCTGCAGGACGGTCGCTGCACCCTTGTAGGATCCTTCCTTTTGCATCCAATAAGTAGGAGACCCTACATCCAAGCAAACCCGCAAGCACGGATTCATAACTCACTAGACTCCTGCAGCAAGAGACCATCATCTTGTACAAAGGAGCTGGTGCTAGTCAACTCTAGTCTGGGGAGACAGTCTGAGTCTCAGAGACGAGATGATCAAGTTGGTGTCGACTTAGAGGGGTGTAGATGATCAGGAAGCCAATCGGCTGCAGCCCTGTGCCATACTCTTGCCTGGACCTGGCGCCTTTGGAAAAAGCCGAGTGGCGTCGACGTACTGGAAAAGCTCGACGGATCCGGCGAAGGCCACCATCTGGGCCTGAGGATCGGCGGGATGTGCCTTTCGCCTTGAACTTTCGAGGCGCAAGACTGTGATTGCAGAGTGGCTGCCGGCTGGTCGGTAATGGGATTCTCCCTGACCAGAAAACCGAAACTTCCGACTGCACGGTGCAACCTTTCTGCGTGGCAATCCAAACTCGGTCGACACGGTCGACACATTACACCTAATTCCATTAGCACAGTATGCCTTGAAGTTGGCTCAAGTAGGACCTTGCCCTGCTTGGACGGTAGCGGTGTTCTACAACTTTACAACCCAGACTGTATGGCTTAGCAACATGAATGTCATCGGCCAACAGTATCAAGCACAAAGAGAGGAATGTAGAACGTGCTACAACACCACTGCCATCGCAGCCAGGAGATGAAAACTCAGGGAGAGCTTTCACATCTTCCGAGGCGGCAGCCCAGCCAGAAAGCGGCACCTGATACATCCGGTGTTCCGCAACATCACGTCTGAGCTGTCACAACCAGGAGATCCTAATCCCAACCCCGGAACAGGCCTATGATCCTACCCAGAAGCTCAGAAGTGACCCTGGGTTCCCTCGCCTTGCTGAAGGCAGCGAAGCCGGTGGGAACGTCCGTGAACTTCAGGCCCAGGGAGGGCCTGGGACATCAGACGAAACCGGCAGGTACGGGTAGCGCAGCGCAGCTTTTGATGGCAGTGTTGCTTCGGTGCATTACACTGCACTTTTCACAGCAGCAGGGAACAGGCCAGGTTGGACGGATTTCGACACGGGAATGTTTGGATGGCGTGGTTTAGTTGACTTCTACCGCAGCAACTCTCCAAGCTAGACCTTCAAGCCGAGAGCCCTTCAAATCCCAAAAGCCCACACATCCCTACACCTCAGAGACGCAGACGAGAGATCACCGGGCCAGCGGTAGTACTCCGGCACGATATATCCCATGCCTAAGAGATGAGAGCTGAACAGAAATTGTCGAGTCAAGTAGGGGTCCGGGTGTTGTTTCAACAAATCCCGTGCCGTCACAGGGCCGTTTGGCCTACAAGAAGACTTTTAAATCCAGGTCTGAGAATCTTAGTGTGCTCCAAGAATTGGGAAATCACAAGCGTTAAAAGATAGACCAAATACGTAAGGCCAAAACGTTCGAAGTTCTGCCATCGGCTATGTATCTAAGCATCATAATTCTTATCATCATTATCTTCTTCTTCATCTTAACTTTCCATCATCTTGCATCATCATGGACGTTCATTATTCAATGCCTGTGATCGAGAGAGCTCTCAACACAGTAAGACTCCCAGAACATCATGCTTGCCGTGGCGGCTCACCGTAAAGCATCCCTGAGCCCGAACCTACATCCGACATCTCGAAACTCAGCCCTTACAAAGCTAAGTCTGCAGCAAAAGCCCTCACGAGCCCTCCACCCAAGGAGCCCTAACTCTGCGCACCCCGGCCGCATTACCTCATTCAACCTGCGCTGAGGACGCTGACAAGCCAGCATCGCCACACGGCCGTGCCTCTCGCAGGGTCACAGACTCTGGTTGGAACATTCATTGCAGCTTTTGGGACATCAAGATAGTTTCGATGTCAGGGTTCAGGTGTCATTAATGATCACTAACGTTGTGGTTCCGATGACGAAAATGGTGAAACTGCTGGGCGCTCTGGACATGCACCCTGAAAGTCGACTCTTGTTCCTCTCCGAGATTCCACACATCCTACGAGGTCGCAGCACACAAACCAACTGCAAGGACTTCCTAAGGCTTCGTCAGCAAAACAAGTACACTAAGTATGCAAACCAAGCATCCCGACAGCCCAAGGCCAGTCCTTACACGCTCAAGGACCTCAGCGCATCTCTTAACGCAAGGAAGCCGCCCGGCCACCCTGAAGGCTGAGCACAAGGCTTGAGCTCCACATAGCGGCGGCGGCGGAAGGATGCAGCGTCACCGCCTGCAACAGTCTGGTCTCGCGACTCTGCACATTGCGAGCCGAGCAAGGCTCTACGATTTGACGCAGGCACGTTTTGGCGCTATCTTCTAGCGGTGCCGAGCCTCTTCCGTTCGTCAAACACTGCTACGTACAACTTTCCTGCAGCATGCTAAGCTGCTCACACAGGCCTAAACCCAAGTCCAGTCACGAAGCAGAACGAATGTGAACGTAAGGTCTTACAGATGCAAGCTATGTCGTGCTCCTGATCGAGGAAGTTCTTCTCAAAAAATATCGACACCAAATCAATGCGTACTACCCCCCCCCTGCCTTTCGTGAAGCCGAGAGGATCCCAAAATCCAGCAGGAGGCTGGCAAGAATTCGGACGGCTGACGATACTGATGATGCTGGCAGCTACGTTATACAGATGGGGATGAGGGTGGGGACCACGAACACGATGATGGTAACGATGGCGATGATGGTGATGGTGATGAGGATGATGGCGAGGAGGATGAGGATGATGATGATGATGAGGAGGAGGAGGAGGAGAAGGAGGAGGACAATGATGATGATGATGATGATGATGACGATGATGACCATGATGACGCTGAAAACGCTGCGAATCGAGAGACATGATGACGCTGGTGATGGTCATTGCCATGGTGATGGCGAGGAAGATGAAGAAGAAGACGTTTATGATGACAGTGATGATGATGATGCTGACGATGATGCTGCTGATGATGATGATGGTGAGCTGATGATGATGATGATGGTGATGATGATGAAAATGGTGGTGGTGATGATGGTGGTGATCATAAGGATGATGATGATGATAATGATGATCACGACGGCGATGATGCTGGTGACGATGATGCTGATGTGGTGATGGTGGGTGGTGACAGCAATGCTGATGGTGACAGTGATGGCGATGGTGGTCAAGTTAATGCTGCTGAAAATGTGGCGATGATGTTCCGTATGCTGACACTGCTGTTGAGGCTCCGGTCTTTGTGGCAGGAGAAAACTATGCAGGTCAGGTGGTATGTTTACCACATTCGCGATTACATTCAACACCGTGGCCGCTCCCCTATGTCAGGGCGTTAAATGACGATCAGAGTTCCGAGGCCGGTCACAGCCAGACGTGTTGGCAAGTACATGTTTCTGAAACACGATGTATGCAGTGTCTTACTGGTGCATTCAGCTGCCACTTCCATTCTGTTTCGGGGGATCATACCGACAGCTCAATCTCTCGACTACAGGTTTGGGTTGGGTTATCACCAAGATATGAAACTGCTGACGGGGGCGGACATGACGAGAATGCAAACATGTTCATGTGGAGTTGCTTCACAAGATTCGCATGATGGGGCATCGTAAGACGGCTTGCAGAAGCAGGTGTCTTCCATCAAGCTGATATTCATCTTGAAGACATGAACGATTGATGTGAAGTCTTGAAGAAACCCCTTGAGCACATGTTACCAAGGCACGTCGGTGCGATTTGTTGAGATTGCTCAGCAACATGAGCATCAGTGCATAGCGGTCACCGAACAGCCGCTGCATCAAAGACGTAATGAAGGGGTTGCGCCAGACAGGAGACCGGAGACCTTCTCATTGCGAGAGATGCTGATAATGATGTTGATTTTCATTCATTATCACCATCGTGATATTATGGTGACACTGACGATGATGCCGATGATGCTGGTGAAGGACACTGGGCGATGCTCACAGCATGAGCGTTGCTGGCAGTGGTGGAGAAGCGCGGTGGTGGTGCAGCTGGTGGTGGAACAGGTGGGAGTGCAGAGCGGCGTTGACTGCTGTTCCTGCAACGATGACGGTGATGGTTCCACAGTCATCACAGGTGGCATCTTTGATATGGCCAGCAAAAAGATGCCAGCAAAGAGGGCTGAGGAATTTGAAGTTATCAAACTCATGATGCATGGCACAAACAAGACGGCCGTTTTTAATCTAGCTTTAATTTGCAAGGTTCGACTCATGCATCTCGACTCAAAGAAGGCCGGAAACCGAAGCCTGAGTCACGAAATGCTATGACCCTCGCAGCCCCAAATGAAAGAAACTCCTCCACCGTGTTCAAAGCCTGCACGCCAAGCTCCGTCTCGAAGGCGCTCGATCCCTAGCAAAACTTCATAGCTGCGCGGGGGCCCGGAACCGAGCTATGCCCGGAGAAGCCGAAGCTCAAGATCCTACACTCCCAGCAGCACGGAACATTGAAGCTAGGAGTATTGCTTGTGCTGGTTGCAAGCGACATGTCCAGATGCGGGCAGGTCTGCCCGACAGTTCAATTGGCCGCAAGCGCGACCTTCTGACAAACCAGGTAGAAAGATCTGAAAAGAGAACAGCCGAGCTGTGAAAGCAGTCGTGGTGGTGGTGGTGGTGGCGCATGTACTAGCCGTAGTAGTCGTAGTAGTTGTAGTAGTCGTAGTCGTCGTAGTAGTAGTCGTAGCAGTAGCAGCAGCAGTAAGTAGTACTAGTACTGGCACCGGCACTACCACCAGAGCAGTAGCAGCAGCCGCAGTCAACACCCGAGAGCAGCACCTGGTAGAGGCCGTAAGGCGTGCCGAAGAGACCGTCCTCCGAGAAAGAGAATCTTGTAACGGTTCAGTTTCGGGATGTACAGGCGAGGTTGCGGGGCTCCGAATTTAGGGTTCATATGTTTCCGGTGCTGGCTCTCTTCGCCCTTGGAGCATGCACGCAAATGCACGCGTAGGAAAGCCCAACAGCAACCCTTTGACTAAACAGCAGCCGCGCAAGCGCCTCGCAAAGCATCCAAACCTCAAAGGCCTTGCAGAAAACCCAAAGAAGGATCCCCTTCCCTTTCGGACTCTTTCACTAAGGGCCGCTCTCATGCCTACTGAGACGGAAACTCAGCCCAAACGCCCTTGGGCCCTACGCTTTCGCCTAGCTGTCCTCGACATCCCCAGCAGCCCAAGCTTCATTCCCACAAGGGTCTTAACATCAACCCGGACTATTATGCCCGGCCTGCACCCACAGACCGACGATAGCCTGGCGGAGTGGAGTCAGAATGCTTTCGTAGTAGTGGAAAAGGGACGAAAATATGGATTGCTTTAGTAGGGCAAATGTTTTCGGATTCAGCATCACTCGCTCAGCAGGGCCGGGGTTGAGTGGTTCAACAATAGAGCTGCTGGCTTCTCTTGGGGCAATGATTTCTCGGCGTTCCTCGTCGACCGAGCCTGCACAAAAAAAGCACCTCAACCCCTGAAGCCTCAGCCGCAAATCGAAGAAGGCCTCATCATAAGTTGGTTTATCAAAAAACAATAGTATGTTTGTAAATGGTACTTATGTTTCTCGTTCTATCTATCTCCCTACCCACCTATCTCTAGCTACCTTGGTAGCTAACTGTTTTCCTGCGCACATATCTTTTGTGTCTCTTCGAACAAATGTATTTATCCAGCTAATCAGTCACTTACAAGTTATTCTTTGTCTTTGTGTAGACCGTCATATCTATTCGAGACAGATACCATCGAGGAAGACCTTGAGTTCCAAGGTCTTCCTCGAACGAAGACCCCAAGACACAACACGATAAGTCTCGTTCGTTGCCTCCTGAAACGTAAACCAACCCACGCCCTTCAGAGCACTCCAAAAGAACATTCTGCAAGAAAGAACACCAACTCCAACACCCTGCCAACCCTCCAACGCCCTCAATGCCACCACCACTACGCTATGCCGCACGAAACCGCAGAGATGCTAAGCCAGAGTCTTCCAGTTCTGCAGCCCGAAATCGCCCCCAGCTCGTGAGCCTCTGAGCACCTTCCAGGCTCAAACCCGAAACAAACAAAAAAACTGGTCACGTGGCCATCATCGCGAGTCGGCCGTTGGCAAGCTCGGAGTTCAGCCCCCGCTTGCGCCTCGGATTTCCGACCCCTGTCGCATAAAGCTACCGTGACTAGATCGGAGCGGTCTATGGTGTCTGCAGCGAGATTTTCGCACCGGATCAGGATGCACAAACTGGGTCAGTAAACCCTTCTGTTGCAGGGCGCCAGCCCCAGAAACAGGCAATCTGCTTGTTCTGAAACTGCATTAAAGCTTGAACACCCCTGGGGGCCCTTGCGACTCCGGATCGCTAATGCTCTCGGCCGTGATGCCCAGCACCATGTTGCCGTACCCGAGCCTGTCGACAGCGCGCATCCACAGATCTTGCACTTTCGCAAGCTGTGTGGATCTGGGCTTGAAGCTGTTGAGTGTGGGGCTGGGTCAAAATTGGCCCCGCGTTCAGGGAATGGAGGGATCGAGATTGGCATTGCAGGGTTGATTGCTTCGGTGTGCAGTGCAGAATTTTGGGTTTGCATGAGCTGGCGATCTTACTGATGCCGCATCGGTCGTCAACCATGCGTGTCCGGCAACCGAAACGCCGACAGCAAGAGACCCCAAGTTATGGCATCATGAGATTTAAAGCAACCCGATCTTCCCGAATCCTTACAGTAAGCACACCGAGCAGAGACAGAAACTTTTCCGCCCAGGACTGACCCCTTCGAGCACGAACATTCACCGGAAAAGCCCCGCCAAAGGACAGAGCCCCGGTTGGTGAACTCTCCCGACTCAACCCTTCACGGCAGGCTCCGAGTCTCCCAGCTTGCCCTTGCCGTAGTTTCCAGGCTCCGCGGGGTCCTGAAGGCAGAGCTCAGGGTTTCAACGGCCTGGAGGTTTTGGAATCGAACGTTCGACCCCACTGCGATGGCAAGGACAGTCTTGAGATCTGCCGCCACATTTACAGTCTCCCCTGGGATGTAATGCGACACTATTCTGCACATCGGAATGACAGTCCACAGGCTCGTTGACGACCCACTCGTAGCAGCCGCACCTGGTTCATACGTTGTGTTTGAAGGCCTCTTTTGCAAGCGCAGATTTTATCTGCAGCCAGAAGGTCATGCTGGCTGAGGTTTCGGACTCAGGGACAGTTTACGACCCAAAATTCCATGTGCCGAGTTCAGCAACCCTCGTCCCTTGCGCTGCTGTGCTACTCTCCTGTAGGCGTCCATACGTTAGGGGTTAGGATCTATAACTCTTTGGTACCAACCAATCACTGCTCAATGAAAGCAAGGTGTTGGCGTTCATGCTGTTTTTTGTGTTTCGGATGTTTCTACGAGGCTCGAAAGGTGCGCTGGAGCTTCCCGAACCCCGGAAGCGCTCGTTCTCCGCGGGCCCTGCGGATGAGGACATCTAGCATCCTCTGTCTGAAAGCAACCTCCCGAACCTCCCCCTCCCGGGTACTCTGTGACACGAGCTCAGAGCACGGCAGAGCCACCCACTGCAGCCAGCCCTCGGCAGGAACCTTGGTGATGGCTGCCAGGCCTGGCGTCACATCGCTTTGGACTTCCAGGATTCCGGCTCCAAATGTCTCCGAAGAGGATTCGCATTCATCATTCATTGCAGAAGCGTTCCAAGACAGTGCAGAGCGCAGGGTGGCATAAAATCTTCCAGAGGACCATGCTCGAATTTGCCTTCAGATGTGTTCGCGCAGTTGGGGCCACGTGTCCCTTCAATATCGACTTCACGGCACCATGCACTTGCACGTGAATGGATGAATGTTGACACCCTTCAAGCACCAGACCTGTGAACACAAAGCTCTGCATCTGCCCCTGAAACTTTGTTCCGCGCCGTGCGGACCACAACTGCCACCACCATCGACATCATCGCCATCAAACTCATCACCAACAACAGCAACAAGAACAGCGACCTCAACAAGAACAATATCAAGGGTTTCACCATCATCCTCAAGGACAACAACGGCAGCAGGACAATAACATCATCAACATTCCTTCTCATCATCAAAATCATCGTCATCATCGTCAACACCATCAGTACCACCATTATCGTCATCGTCATCATCAGCGGCAGCAGCACCATCAGCATCCTGATGCTCATCATCTTTGCCTCGGCTTTGGAATAATTACCACAAACAACATTACCATGAGCATCACCATCATGCACGACAAGCGAGCATTCGGCAAATACTGGCAGGAGTGCCGTTGGGTACGTCCGCGAACTTGAGGTTGGCGGATGGCGCAAGGTAGCCCGGACTCGGACAAAGGGGTTGGCGTAGTCTTCGGCCGTGGCATTCTGGTTGGAGATATTCGTCTATAGTCTGCTCGCGTGACACACGCCATCTTCTCTTGCTGCAATAGTTCCGCACACGCATGTGAAGAAATATATATATATATATACACAGGTATATGCATGTGTGTGTATATATATATATACACACATACCTGCATACATAGGTACATACCTACCCTACACACCTAAATAAACACCTGCCTACATACACTCAAACATATATACACACGCATACATAGACACACATAAATACATACATACACACACATGCATGCATGCATACACGTGCACGTACACGTAAACTTACACTTACCCTGCGCTTACACTTACTTTACAATTACGCTCACACCTACCCTTACCCTTACATTACCCCTGCACTTCCACGTACACTTAGACTTCCAAGTGGACACACACCCACATGTACACATGCACGCGCACACATACATATCAAAAAACACGCTTGTGCAGTCTGTGCAGTGCAGTGCTGGGCCTCATGCTGAAACTACCCGCTGAATGGTGCGTCGACATAAAGACTCTTCGCTTGTCTCGCTCTGTTCTACTTCCATTGTCATCCATTGTCCTTTCTAGTTGGATACTCCGCTGTTTTGCAACGGGCGTGGTGTGCTTAGAGTCCTCAAAAACAGCATCCCAAGACAGACGACATCGACCACAAGCCTCATCCTCCAGTCGTCCACACTTGGGGCCATGGCAACTTGAAGTACTCAGGCACCATGTAGCCCATAGTCGCAAACCTAAGCGAGTCGGTTCAGGAATCTATGATCAGGAGGGGCTTCCTGACCTCGAGATCTTCATATTTCAACATCAACATCGCCGAGACCTGTGGAATGCTTCTTGACACACTCTGCGAGTTGGGCCTCCCATGTTCGGCCCCAGTGCCGCTCTATCGGTCACCAGAATCCCAACATATCGGCGTGCTTCATGTGCCTAATTGCGAGAATGTCGAACACTTTGCCTCGACACACGGTGTGCAGCCATGGCAACTCCAAATACTCGGGGAAGAAAAGCCAGATGGCAGCTACGATATCAAGGTTAAGGTGAGTCTTTTCTCTGGATACCTGCATGTCACAAGTATCAAGGTGCTTCGGTTTTTCAATATCTAAACCCGGGCAACCAATGCCTTGCTCTCAATGTTTCCTGATACACCGGCATCTCGGTAAGCTTGCACACAGCCATAGAGGTTTTGTGGGTCAGTGGTTCCGCTTGTCGGGTTCCGGGGCTGAGTGTTTACGGCTTCGGACAAAGCCGAAGCCTATGGGATCGTATGAGTGTAGGTTCTGGGTTTGGGTTCGCGGCTTAACGCAAGGGAAGAGAAGTCAAGTCTGCCAGGTTCCGTGCATGGCGACGCGGCCGTTCTTGATCTCCGACTGTACAAGGCAGCTGGTAGGTGTCAACAATTAAGAGATGGACATTCGGGGCGTGCCAACCCGCCAGTCTGCAAACTGGTGCTTGTAGCCGTGAGTTGAAGCTCTCCAGACTTTGTTGTTGGGGCAGGAGCGGAGCCTTGCTTGACAATCCATCGACCCTACTTGTACAAATCACAAACTTCCAGCTGGAAGCCCTCAACAACTTGTCCTGAACTCCTGGTGTCGAAAGAGAAGCCTTGACCCCAAAACCTAGACCAAGGATCCTGGACCTGAACCAAAAGTTATCAAAACCGGCCTCACGACGGCGGCGGAAGGTCTCGACATCACCGTCCTGGAGGGGAGCAGATCAAAATCGTACGAATTCAAATTTAGGACGAGGCATGCAGTAGCCGAGTAGCGCAATCTTGGCATGCTTTGGCTGTAGGGCCCAGCAGTCTTGCAACGACCACAGCCCTGTTTGCACACGAGCCTACTCCCTGATGCGCAAGCAATGTCTGCCAACGTCAAGGCGTTATTCCACCATCGCCGAGTCCACAAAACTCAAACTGAGCTCAGAAGCGCTTCGGCCACAGCTTTCGGGCCAGTGCTGAATCCCAACCTCTGCACACCTGATCCTGGGCATAACCACAATCCCAGACAAGTCGGGTCAACACCTCAAATGCCCCGATGACCGACTGGGTAACCTATCACGCTACGGCGTCTCCAGCGGGAGCCCTCAGTCCTTTGAGAGTCCCAGGGGATCGAAGTATCCCAAGGGAGCCTGGCGGCTGCAGGTCGCATCAGAGGCTTTTACATTGGGGCTGGGCTACACAGGTCGACGTTCCCTAGCCGCCCTAGCCGAGTGTCATTGCAGCTGGGGTCGACAGGTACGGCCGCAGGGGCGATTTAGGCCCTTTTGGCATAGTCAGGGCAGCCTCACTGTCACAGGAAGCCAAATTTCAATGAACATCTCCGCCCTGATGGTCCGTCATGACAGCCGAAGTTCCACTAGGTTCAGGGCATCGTCCCAGCGGGACGAACCCGCAAGAACACCTCTATTGACTCTATTCCCTTGCAATGCGACAGACAACATTGTGTCGACTGCCTTCCCCCTTAAAACGTTGGCACAACGAAGGTATCCGCGACAACTTCCAGCTCGACAACATCCAAGTTCTTTCAATGCACCAATCCATGCAGAACGAACGATCCTGGCATTCGAGTCCCTTCTATGTGCACCCATGTTCGTCGACACAGTACAGTAGCTGGGTACAGATGTGTAGACACCCTTTTGTTTCGACAATGCGACTGCAAGAAAACACCCACTGTGCTTGGTCAAATGGACCCTGAACCCCCCAAGCTCCTCAATTTGTCAATGTGAGGGCAGTGGCGTGGTCAAGTCCTTGCTCCAACAGAAATGCGGGCCCTGCCTGCACGCCCAACTCGTTCTCGAAGGCGGAGGAGCCCTTGGCGTCTGCAATGGGCAAGCGCGAGAGACTGGTTCAAGCTTCTGCTGCTACCTATCCGGATGAAGATTCTCGGCGAGCCGTGGAAGTCGAGCATGGCAAGACCAAGAAGAAATTCGATGACGAGCATTTCACGCTCAAGCTGCAATTACCACTGCAATGCTGATGACGCCGGACTGATTGCGCACAACTCCTACTGCCTCAGACATGG